CCCCTTGCAAAGTAAAAGAGACTTATATCAATAACAAGGGTCGTAAATAGTTCTTGTGAATTTTAAACACAAGTTTGATGAAAAATGACAAACCATCAAAGCTGGTTTTCCTGAAGGGAGCAGTTTCGAAATGCATTATTTAAACAAAACTACGTGTTGTTTTCATTATATCACTGAAATTTCATAATTTTATGTTCAATTTTGTCTACATCAATACAGTGATTGCTTGATTCAACTTTTTCTGCGCAATGCTCGTCAGTGGTCATCGTGAGAGCCTGTTTCCCACATAGCAATTGTTGTATAATCATTAAATAGGTCATTCAGGGAAAACTCACTCTTCATTTGCTTTCTATATTCCGTCTTCAATCAACAACCCTCTTTCCATCATCTGTATACATGTACCATGTTCTTTATGAAACATATTCTCTTTTCAAATAGGTCTCCAAATAAAATACCAACTTTTCGCCGCCTGTTCTGTCGATTGCCGCTATCAAAATGCGTTACCGTGTTTTGATCAGAACATCGAAAGTCTACTCACTTGTAATACAAACGTTTGCTGATAGCGTCCGACTTCTACCTGATATCAGGTGCCAAGGGTTTAAAATCTGTCTAAGTCCGATTTCTTTTGGCTTCTATGTCTGCAATCGAGTCAAATGCATGCACTTCAACTATAAAGATCATTCCCGTTATGAATCTTATTTTAAACGCTTAATTTGACAGGAAGCATATTTTCTGAAAGAGCCCTTCCCTGCTTGTTTTATATCTCTCATCTTCAAATTCAGTGTACAGGCCAGAATGGGTTAAGAGTCGAATTAAAGCTGTCTGCGCCCAGAGGAAGAAAATTGTTGGCGTTTGTAATCCCGTGGTTATGAGAACTGAGACTAAACTGATTGGGAGATAACAAGCCAATAATGTAATTTGTACCCGCAGTGCTGTGGACAGTCTTTCCGTTGTCCTTGGTGATCTTGGTCTTGCTCTTGTGCCTGCTAAGAAGGGCGAAGAGTGAGGTATATTTTGGTGAGGCAGAAAGTTGTGGTTACTATGTACGATAAAAGTGCAACAGAGATTATGCCTACAGCAATACGTTGGATATAAAATGCTACAAAACGCTGCGACAGAAATGCTGAAAAGAAGTGCAGTGACTTGACTTTTTCCTCATCCAAAGTGAAAAAACGAAAGTCAAAGCTTGCACATCCAAAACAATTGATCTCTTTAGCTTGTATGTTTCGTTTACCCATTTCAGGTCTCAGGGCAATTCCCAGCTTGATCTTTTGTAAACTATGTGCGTACATGTGCACGTGAATGAGAGGAAATTTGAACCAAACATAAAAGAAAACTTTTTTTCGAAGGGAAGGGGAGAGGACCGCTCCAGGCGAGAGCGGCACTTAATACAGGTTTCGCGCTGATGCATGTGAAGTTTCCTTGACCAGTTGACCCATAACACCCCAACATCAGCATGTATATTCTACATACATTTCCTATGCACGGAAGTAACGAGGAAACTGAGTCGCGGACAACATCAAGAGCTTTTCAAGTTTGAGATCTTTTGTTAAATTCTCATGAGCCTTATGGTTAATTCAGCAGTGAAACCTTAGTGAGAAATAGATGCTAGATGTCCTAAAGGGTTGAAGGGTTATTACCATTACCATCGGTTGTGTTGAGTTTTACATATCTAGATAAGTTAAACAATGTATTTGTCGGATACCAGCTTCGAGGAAGCTGTATTCCTTTGAACCTCTCTATCTCTCCCTTTCTCTTGCTAAATGTTTGGCTTCTTTTTAACTTTTCTTTGCAACATTCAACCAACCTAGCCTTTGTTTTTAAAAATAATTGTAAACTTTTGGGAAGCCACTTAAGTCGATAACATTTTGTGCTTTTTCAAATGAGATATTGCATGCTTTACCACGGCAAATTTTCCCGCTAAATCAGATGAAAAACCAATTTATTTTTCCTCAAGTCTCAATGTTTCCTGAGACAAAGCTAGTTGAAAGAAACATCGAGACTTTCAGACGAAAAAAGAGGCAAAAATTGTATCCGATCCCGTCAAAGCCAGACAGTGAGTGTATAATGATATCAGAAAACATTGTGCAATGGAAAGCAATATATTCGCTGCATAAATAAAGTCTCTCCTCTGTTGGTTATGTTTGCCGTGTTTTTCGTGAGCAATCGGCTTCCAGTCGGTTGTGACAATCAAAAAACAGGGTGTTCAAAACTTGAACTTAAGCTTGAAGCGGCTTAGCAGTTTAGTTTGTTTTTGTAGATGATCAGAGGAAGCTGGTTCTTATTGGGACGGCGAAACATCACCAGGGGGTGAAGTGAACAGTATGTATTCTATATGCTTTGGTATCTTAATACAAAGACAAAAATCTTTACAGGGACTGATATGAAGCACATACTGGGTTATCCAGATAAGGTTGCGTGTTAAGAATAGCCTTTTCATTCTTTTTATATTTCTAAGTGTATACAATCACTTTATGGTAATGATTGCCTCTTTCGGCTTTATTTAAAGACTTTAAGAACAGTTTATCGTCGATTAAACCAAAGCGTGCTTGCTTTTTGCTTATGAAACCGGTGCTTTATCACTGGTCAGTCATTAGTTGTTTGAGTGATTGTTAAAAGTTCCATTTCAGTCGTGTTTATCGTTGACAAACCGTCATTTGGAAGTCATAATAAATCAGCTGAAAGGAAACTTATTACATAAAAAAAGAAAAAATGATCCGGGTTTTTTGATACGTTCACGCTGGGCTTTTTCCGAAAATTTTTTTCTTTGTTAACACTTTATTCAGTTTGAATATCTCTTTTTTTAATTAGTAATAATGTATATGAAAAAATTACGCGCGTCTGATTGGCTGAAAACGAGTGCATTTTTCATGTAATACCAGTGCAAAATTGTAACACTAGTGCATACTACAAATAGCGCGCGCGCGCTGCCAAAGTTTCGCCGGTCTTGACTTTCTGTGATGCGTTTTACGGGCTCGTGCAATGTGGTTGTCTTTGAGAAATTTACTCGTGCTTATTAACACCAAATTGCACTCGAAATCACGTTGTTACTTAACTTGTATTTAAATTAATCCCGAAAGATGTTATTTGTATCTTTGTTGTTGTTTCTCGCATTTTTCCACCTCTTTGCCTGAATTTCCATTTCTTGTTCTCGTCAAAAGAACTCTTCCGGTCATGTCCTCAAACTAATTAGAACATTTTGTCTGTATTTTAAAAGCATCGCTTAGTGTTCGATTCAGTTTATATCTCTCACCTATTTTTTCCAGTGACATGGGTACAAGTGATGGATAACTGTTGTATTTGACTCGGTTGGGT